AAGATTCACAAAATTTCCACTAGAGATTCACACTATTATATAAAATTTAGAAAAGCATGACTCAGTTGGGTGAAAACATTAGACCTACTAGAATCATTCACTTAATACTATAACTATGGAATGTTCTTCAGAACTGTAAACTGAATAATTCTATTTTACCCTTTACAAAGAGTGACTTGGTCATTTTTAGGCGCCTCATCATTACATGATACACATAATATATATTTATTACTCACAGTCATGGCCAAAAACAAACATTGGCACCCCTGCATTTGTCAGATAATGCACCGCACAGAAAATTGTTGCAATTACAAATGTATATTTCTTTTGATTGTATTGGTATGACAAAAAAGTGGAGGAAACCCCCCCCCCCACAATTCCACGCAAAACTCCAAAAATTGACTGGACAAAATTATTGGCACCTTCTCTAAATTGCAAGAAATAATTGCATTACAAGTTCTTGTGGTAAAGCATGGACAATCTCAAGGTTACAAGTCCATCTCCAAAGATCTTAATGTTCCTGTGTCCACTGTGCACAACATTGACAAGAAGTTTACAGCCCATGGCACTGTAGCCAGTCTCCCTAGACGTGGATGGAAGCTGACCTTCAGGCATAGGGTACAACTGTGTCAGCTCGCACTATACGTCACCATCTGAATAAAAAGGGATGCTATGGTAGGAGACCCAGGAGGACCTCAATGCTGACACAGAAACATAAAAAAGCCAAGATTGGAGAATGTGCCGTGGACAGAAGAAACAAAATGACAGCTTTTTGGTAAAGCCCATCATTCTGTTTTCAGAAAAAGAAATGAAGCCTTTAAAAGAAAAAATAAAATAAAATACAGTCCCTACAGTCAAACATGGGAGGTTCCCTGATGTTTTGGGGTTGCTTTGCTGCTTCAGGCACTGGATGTCTTGACTGCGTGCACTGCATTATGAAATCTGCATTATGAAATCTGAAGACTACCAATGAATTCTGGGGTGCAATGTATCCTTCGTAGCAATCTTTGACCAATTGTTCTTCCGTCCACGTCCAGGGAGATTAGCTACAGTGCCATGTGCTGTAAACTTCTTGTCAATGTTGTGCACAATGGACACAGGAACATTAAGATCTCTGGAGATGGACTTGTAAGCTTGAGATTGTCCATGCTTGTCCACAAAAACTTGGAATGCAAGTTATTTCTTGCAATTTGGAGAAGGTGCCAATAATTTTGTCCAGTCCATTTATGGAGTTTTGCGTGGAATGTGTCAGGTTTGGCTTTTTTTTCTCAACTTTTTTAGTGTCATACCATTACAAACAAGAAAAACATGAGAATGCCTAAACATTTGTAATTTCAGCAATTTTCTGCGTGAAGTGGTGCACTGACAGAAATCCAGGGGTGCCAATATTTAGAGATGGACTTGTAAGCTTGAGATTGTCCATGCTTGTCCACAAAAACTTGGAATGCAAGTTATTTCTTGCAATTTGGAGAAGGTGCCAATAATTTTGTCCAGTCCATTTATGGAGTTTTGCGTGGAATGTGTCAGGTTTGGCTTTTTTTTCTCAACTTTTTTAGTGTCATACCATTACAAACAAGAAAAACATGAGAATGCCTAAACATTTGTAATTTCAGCAATTTTCTGCGTGAAGTGGTGCACTGACAGAAATCCAGGGGTGCCAATATTTTTGGCCATGATATATATATATATATATATCAATTATAGCTTTAAATGTATTAACTTGGCCCTACATTTTACAGCAGCAATACTAGTTTGATTCATGTGGTGTGCCATAAAGGCAGACTATTTTTAATAGCTTTAAACTGCAGTATATGGAGGCATAGATGGATAAACAGATTACAGTGCATTCTATTCAGGTCACTAAAAGTTAAAAGCAGAGGAAACTAACTTATCTGCACATATTGTTTTATAGGCCAAAACTGTAGAACCTTTATACCTAGGATGCTTAAATACATTTGAATGAAGAAACTGCTTAAAATTGTGAACCCTCTGGATGCCAGAGAAAAACATTGGCTGTTATGGGGGATGTGTTGTGTGTAGCTGTGTGACCACACACTACAATAGCTAGTTGTACCCAAGTATATCATCTCAAGTACAGGACCCTATGCTAATCTCCTATGGTGTTTTCATATCTTAAGGATCGAAAGGCATTTAACAGTAATCCAAAGTCAGCCTCAAAACACAGATTCTTCAGGCACTGTGGTGATATTTAGATTTTTTTTTTTCTTTTAAAGGTTGACAGTTTTGTGCAGACACCTCATGCCTCTTAACTAGTGACAACTGGAATCAAGCATGTAGCTTAAGTGATTAAAGTTTTTCCCCTCAAAAGGGGACTCAGAGGACCCATTAAAGTAGGCAAGGCAATATCAGGTTTGAGGTGAAAGATCTGGTGCTTTAAGAAGTTTTGCAGCTTCATTATCTTGATCAGATTCCGTTGTTTCACCTGTATGTTGCAAGATATTTTCCTGTTTCTAATAAAGAAAAAACAAAAACAAACATGAGCAAAGAAAGGATGCAGAATACCCAAGTGCAACTACAACCAAATCAGTAAATTTTTGGTAGAGTGAGGGCGGATTAATTCTCTGCAAGGTTTTTATTGGCTCCCCTGGACCCATTTAGGAGATTTCTCTCTTACTGTCCCAGTGAGAGCAGAGTTATGTCACTGAGACTGAAGAGCAATCTCCAATCTCCAACAGGCACAGACAACATATTAGCTGACAGAGGTTATAGTCTTGCCACACTGTGCCATTGAATGCATTTTAATCTTACAACACTGGAGTGGCACAATTTAGGAGAAAGCTCAATAGGCACACAAAACAAAAACCTACCATATGCCGTTGCTCTTGCCCACTCTAACCAAAAAAATAGTTTTGGTTGGGGTTGCAATTTAGCAGCAGCTTGCCGTATGGATGTTTTCTATGCAACATGAACAGGGAAAGATTTTTACTTACGAATACTATAACATTCTGATGAGCCATGTTTTTTATGTTGCCTCTGTGCGACAGCATTGCTATAGTGTTGGCCCTGGTGGTGTTCACATGGCAGTCATTTCATTTGGTGCCATAAGAATGTAGGATGATAAACAGGTCAGGATTTTTACCAGGTTTTCAAAATTTGTTTGTGCATAACAAATATTTATCAAGACAAAGAGAAACAGTGCTGGGAATTGCATGTGAAGTGATATGAAAAAAGTGTGATACTGATGATAGTGAATGACATATGCTACAAACATGTTGCATGAAAAAAATTAATTGGTATACATGATAATGAACACAAACAAGTGGCAGCGGTTAATGTGTTTAATAGGTTAGTAGATTGATTTTAGGAAGCAGTCAGCCCATTCATACAGATTTATACACCGCTTGTTTAACCCATTTAGTTAAAGTGTATGTGGACAAAATAAAAAATAAATTTAAAAAAAGTAAATCTCCACAATACATTTTTGTCTTATTAAAAATACTAAGGGGGTAATTCAAAAAGCTGTCAGTTTCCAGCCGTAGCTTCGGCTGATCCTTCGTCTGGCTTCGTTTGCGAGAGCCCTTCGGTTCAGTCGAAACAAAGGGATGCTTGTACAGTCTATTCACTATAGCCCTACAGCAGCCGAGCAGAAGGCATATGCTTCCGCTCGACTGAGCCTAAGTGACAGCCGAAGCAGGGCGAATGGCCTGCCAGAGGCCGGCCTTTTCGCCCTGCAATTGAAAGCTGGGCAGAGCCAGCCGTGATTTCAAGGCTGGCTCCGCCCAGTTGTCATGACAGATCAGCGTCCCCAAATGACCTGGGGACGCTGAACTGTCATTCATTGGCCGGGACCTGCTAGAAGACTGTAGCAGGTGTCACTGCTAGCTCCTCCCAATAGTTTTTTTTTTTATTTTTCAATTTAAAAAGCCTTTTAAAATTCTCAACTTTTTTGGGGGGGAGGGGGGGGGGGGGGGGGGTTTTTTTTTTGTTTTTTTT